GATTAAGAAGCAGGACTTGAGGGCTGGGGGCACAGCTTGGATCAAGAGTGCTTGCCCAGAACCTAATAGGTCCTGGATTCAATCCCCAGGACTGATAAAAGAAACATTTGTTTTAAAGCTAGATGTGTTGGTGCACATTTGTAATCCCAACATTTGGGAGAGAGGCAGGAGGGTGAAGAGGTCATTCTCAGTTGTACACAGTGAGTTTGTGGCTAGCCTTGGCTACATAAGATCCTGTCTCCAAAACTAGAAACCAGGCTTGCAAAAAGTGGCTCAGTGAGTAAAAGTGGTTCACCTGCTTCCAAGCATGATGGCTTCAGCTGGATCCCCGGTGAAGCAGAAAACTGACTCTAAGTCTTCTGACTCACACATGCCCCAAACGAACAAATGAACAAACAACCAAACAAATGAACAAACAAACAAATAAAGTAATTTTAAAATTTAAAAGCAAAAGTGTTAAGCAGTGTTCAAAACAAACTTCATAGAGAAACAAGGAAGGTGGCAGAGAAGGCCGGGCTGGGAGGCTATGAGAACGACTCTGCCCTTAGCAGGTCAAGGCAGGAGAGACTGCTGAACCCCAAGATTCTAGCCCCCTTAACTAACTTTGGGCTTTCAGTGGGGGATTCACTATCCATACTGCCTTTACTTCCCTATTTGTCACACAGGAAGAGAATGACCTCACCCCCAAGGCTGGACGGTTGAAGTCACCTCGTGAGAACACTTTGGGATGTTAGAGGCAGAAGGGAAACTACATGCGTCCACAGCTGTGGCTGGTGGACACGACTGTGGCCTGTGGACACGACTGTGGCTGCCCTCTGCTGTTGGCTCTGTCTGGTGATCCACAGAAAAAGCATGGCCGCTTGCAGCCAGCTCAAGCAGCGAGAAAAACACAGCAAGAGAATCTTCAGAGTTTTCAGAGCCATGTATCTCCAGCAATGAGCCGGGGACAGAGAGTCTACAAGAGGCCCTATTGTGTATCTCTCTCGTCTGCCCAGTGTTCCATCTTCAAGGACGAAATACAGCTCACTGTAGATTATGGGTTTTCATAAAGGATAGCAGTGTTCCCAGAGTTAACTATATTCACCATTCACCAGGATGAGCACAGAGGGAAAAGCCAGATGCCCTGGGCTCCTCCTTGCATAGCTCAGGTAAGGGCATTCGGACCAGTTTCTGGATTCCACCTGTTCTGAGGTAGAACAATTTGTGGAATACAGGCTGTTGATCTGCAGGGACTTAGGCAGAAAGACTGAAAAACGACTGTGTACGTTCACCGTTACTTCTGGGAAAGAGAAATACTGGAGACGCCAGAGGAATAAGAAGCTAGAACTCCTCCCTCCTTCCCTCTGTCTTCCCCTTTTTTTCTCCATGTTTCCTTGCTTCTTTCCTCCTTCCTTCCTTCCTTCCTTCCTTCCTTCCTTCCTTCCTTCCTTCCTTCCTTCCATCCTTCCATCTATCTTTTCCTTCCTTCCTTCGTTCTAGCCTCTCTGCTACTACTGGGAATCAAACTTAGGGCCTCAGGCATGCTGAGTGGGAAGTGCTCCTCCACTTGAGCCACAGCCTCAATATTCTCTTTTTAAACCTGCCATTTACATTTACCATATGCTGACTTTATTCCTGGGCCTCGTGTTCCTTCTGGGATGTCCTTCTCTTCCATGCCCCCTTCTCTTTAGCACAGGAGCAGTCTGTCCCTTCTCAGTAATGACCATCTCAGTGAGGGACCCTGGCCACAAGCTCTGTAAGCACAGAGCACGCACAGTGGGGCCTTCGTTCACCTGGATATGCTCGCTGACGAAGGCTCTCTAGTAGTCGGGTCTGATGAATTCCGGTCAGTTTGTGCTTTATAGCAAGACTCTGTCTCAGGAACTGGGGTGGGGGGGGGCGGGAAGGTGGGGAGGACACATATCTACAGAAGCCCTTGAGATCGCTGTCTCTCCCAGTGACTCAGTGCTCTTTTGGGCTTCTGGAGTGCTGGGTCCTGTGCCATCTCTGCTGTCTGGTCTGGTGTGCTACAAAGCAACAGCTCTCAGGCGTTTGGTAGATTGCTTGACTCGAATAGCTCAGTGGCCTGGCAGTCTCTCCTGTCCTTAAGGGGAAGGCTTAAATGTCTTGGTTCTTACAGCAGTGTAGGGTTTTCTGGGTCAAAGGATGTGTCAGTGGGAGGGCTGGGAGTTGTTAACAATGACCGTCAGGCAATAAAGGCAGGAAAACAGAAGGAAGAACCATGGCACAAGGACCCAGCCGAAAGCAGCTCCCTGCTCGGTTTGTAGACCTCTCTCTGCGGGCGACCCGGGGCCATAGAGACACCTGTGTTCGTGTGCCACGGCATGTTTGAAGCTGAGGACGAGTTCCAGTGTGTCCTTCCGTGGCCTGCACTTTACTCCGTGTTGGAAGCAATATGACCATCCCCCTCTTCCCACAGCACGCTCACATAGGACAGGGGGAGGCAATTCGAGGGGACCACCCCTCCCCCAGGGGTCTTCGCTCGCTGCGGGTGGCTCTGACACCCCCACTCAGGTGGATGGGGAGCTGTTGCCTAACCAGGGTTAGTTGTTTGGCTGCCTGTTATTGGTGGCCTCCGGCTTGGGCCCGCTTTGCTTTCCATGGTGCCCTCTTTCTGGTCTGTCTAGATGCACGCGGCCTTCCTTTACAGTGGGTTTTCTGAGCCACTGCCCGTTGCCTCTCATGGTTCATTCTCAGCACCTCCTGCGGCGCTTCCCCTTGTGACTGACAGGGACCCTTTAGACCCATATATTCAGGCCTCTCCTTTAGGGTCTTCAGGGGGCAGGGTGAGCATCGGCTTCAGATGCTGAGCATCCTGGTATGAGAAGCAGGGTCAGATACACACTCGAGGCATGAAGCGTGCACGAACAGGAAGCCAGCCTAGTGCTCCGCCGCTGTGTCCCGACCCCGCCCTTTCCCTCCCTTCAGGAGTAAAAATCTTTGACAAGGCTTGGCTTAGTATTTCCTGAAATGAGACGGAAAGGGGGAAACCCCAGTCCCTCCTTTTAGACGCGTTTCTGGTTGGACACTGCACACTCAGGCAGGAAGCACTCCTGTCAGTGCAGCTGAACTAAAGAGAAGCCATTTTGATGGCCATTTGTGTCCCGATTTCACAGGCCTAAGTGGAAAGTGAACGGTCTATTGATCCGATTTGCCGTCTTCATCAGTAACGCGGGAGAAAGAATTACTTTTCTAGTGGCCTCAGCACCTGTGTATCTCTGACAAAATGAAAATGTCAATGGAGAATAAAATGGGGCTATCAAATAATGAAATAACTCTAGTGCGCTATTTTTTTTTTTTAAGGACAGAATGTTATCTGCATGTCAGTATGTGACAATCAAATTTTTGGAGAGACTTCTATAATTACCCGGACACCTAAGGCTAAGCAAGCGGAGGCTTGGGTTCTCTTGTGACATTGTACCATGATAAGGAGACTAGACATTGTTCCGGGGACAGTCCGGAGTACTGATACTATGCCCTGTGTCCACTGTGTACAGGTTTCAGGGCAAGTCCACTGCTGGCATCCATTGACGGCTTTTAGTTTCAAACCTGTTTCCCTTTGTGGCTTTAAGCACAAGCTTTGAGAAGCAATGCAGGTTAGGTTTCCCGTTTGGCAACAGAAGACATTATATTCCCTCTAATGTCTTTAGATGTGGATGCAGGGTAACATTAGAAAGAAGGGATTATTGACAGGGTACCAGCTGGGGCTGGAGAGTCAGTGCTAGAGGGCTTGTTAATCACAGGCAAAAAACACTGCTCCTCTTGTGCCTGTGTCCAGTGATCTGCAGTTACACAGCACAGCCCAGGCTTCTTGTCACTGGTTTCCTCTGTCCCCGGTATAACCCTGTCCAGTTTGGGGTCATTCATAGCCTTATATGTTCAGTATCCAGATGATGCCATTGAAAATCTATCCCTACTCTTGCAGAGAATAAGGCTAATTTGGAAGATCTGAACTTGCAAATCCACAGGAACGCTCATTTCATGTAGCCAAGCCTTTTATTCCTGTGTCCGCTCCTAGGCAAGGAGGAGAGCCACTGCTCTGCTCCCCAGAGGTGACAGCCTCCGCCCCCTCACCCTCCCACTCCTCACCATCCCTTCACATCTTCCTCACCCTACTGAAACTGCATCTCCAAGGTCAACTGTGGTTATTTCTTCACAAAGCCCAGTCCAAACAGGATTTGGTTTCATCTTCATTTTTCTCTACTCCAGACATCGATTTTCCTTGCCCTGCTCTGATGTGGTTTATGTGGTTTATATTTATCCACCTGGCTCCTAGTTGGATTTTCTTAACTGGTCCTTTGCATAGCAGCGTCTTGGCTGGGAGGACCAAAGCCTAGTATTAGCTCTCACCCTGCCACTAACTGTATCAAAATTAGGATAACAGGAGGTGTTATATCCTTGGTTTGGTGTCGAAATTAAATGGAATAATTAACGAAATATTTGCTCTCAAGTTTGGCAAGAGAAAGTACTCGTGAATGTTACCGGATGGCACAACAGGCTCAAATGTGAAAACAGATGGCTTCCCTCTCATCCCTGCCCCCTTTAGCTCATTTTGTCCTCCTCATGCCACACAGGGCCAGTCAGTAAACGTTTATTGACGCACAGATTCACGCACATGGTGGCAGAGTTCAGGGAAGGAGGAACGACCCGGAGGGAGATTCCAGAGGCTGCAGAAGCAGCAGAAGCCTTGTTGTTCAGTTTTTAACTAAAACATGACTTAACACGTTGAGTGTTTGATCCTTTCCGGACATAAGGAGTTTGTTGAAGAGGAAGCTGCGATAGCAGTTACAGTACTTGCTAGTGTGACAGTCAGCCACTGTTTGGCCTAGGGACGGGGCGTCCAGTTCTTAGATTAAAAGCTGCTCTAACAGGATTATGTCCCGGAAAGGCGGCCAGGGCCCTGGAAGCCTTGACTGGAAGCATGGTGCCATCTACTGGCCTCGCCGGAAAATGACGCCGGGCAGCGCTTGTCTTTGGAAAGGGTGAAAGTCCTCAGAATTAACCATTCTTTCTGCAACGTGAGTGAGACTGGACAGGAGGAATCAGTGAGGGGCAGGCACAGCAAACAGCAGGCAGGAGACACCGCGGCCGCGCGGGACGCAAAGGGCGACGGGGTGGGCGAACGACGATCTTGAGGTTGTCGGTGGAGGACAGTTCCCTCTCCCTCCTCCCCACCTCGTACTCGCGGATCCCCTCTCCTATTGGGCTCACTTTTCTGTTCTCAGCTGCCTCCAAATTCCGAGAGGACTGTCTGTCTTCTCTTTTTGTCTGTAAGGAAACCAGGGCTGGGGAAATCTCCCCGAGTTATCAGCTGAAACAGCGCGTCTGCTGGGGGACCCCGGAGCAGCCTCCAGACCCGAAACAGCAGCTCCTCACGTGACAGCCACCCCAAGAGCCAGGTAAGGTGACTGCTGGCTGAGAGGAATTGCTAGCGTCGTCCTGGTTCCCACATCCTTCCTGGCATGTGCTCTGGCCACCTGCACTGGAGGGAATTGAATCCAAGAATGTTGCTCTCTGGTGATACTTCCTTTAGAAGAAGGAAGAGGGTAATACTGACATGGAAGCCAAACTATCGTTTTGCATTAGTAAACTGTGCCAATCGGTCAATAGTTGGGTTATAGACAATTGTCTTTCAGGGGAGACTTATAATCTAGGAAGGTCTGGGAGAAGATATGGACGCTTCAGACTGAAGTGTGCGCACACTTGGTCAGCACACAGGGAGTTAGTGGTCTAGGGGTTTTCAGGGCTGGATGAAAAGTGCATACAGACTGTGAGCCTGCCATAGTGCTACACAACTATGACCCCCAGTTCCTGAGGGACTGAGACAGAAGGTTAGCAAGTTCAAGGGCAGTTTGGAAGTTAAAAAGTTATTTTATTTTTTAAGAAACAAGGAGTGGGGGTTTCAGATTTTTTAATTCATTGCTATTCGTCTTTTGGGTTTTTTTCTTTTTCTTTTTCTTCTTCTCTAAAAGGAAGATGATGAAACCTGCCTGTCGAGAAAATGTGAGAATTAAATGAAACATGGTAAGAATTCTTTTAGTTGAGCTGGCGGCTGGATTTAGTTAATAAAGAAGTTAGTTAAAATAGAGGACTCATGAAAGTAACGCCTCGCAAACTGCACCTGAAGTGCAGGCTTCTTACTAATTCAGGACGTGCCTTGTCTTTGCCTTCTCATCGGCTGGCTGGCTTTTAGAGCTGTTAAACCACGAGTGTGCTGTCGAATGATATTTTGGCTTTGGCTTGTTCTACTCGAGCAAGAACGTAAAGGCGCTGGTGGCGCTACTGCACCACCCTTTCAAGTCAAGAAGTCCCTCCAGATAGTCACGATTTCTCTCAAGCTCCTCCCTATCTGCATGCCTAGCTGCACAGCAATAGTTGAGCCACTTCCCATGGTGAAGTTATTCCAAAATATCTAACTTGGCTTTCAGAGAAACGACTTCCTTCCCTTGTATACCCAGACGCTTCCAGATGCTTGAGCCCTGGCATGGAGATAAATAATTAGGTAACTAATTAACTTCACGGTTTGCAGTAACAGGTAGAGCTGTGAGCTGCTTCTTGGGAAGCGTGCTCCCGTGGAGCACGGTACCGTGAGCACTGTCACCACTGTGGTGGGGGACAGAGTCTGCACAGGGCCCAGAGAATCACAGTTGACCTTTCGCTCTTCCTGCCCCGTGTTGAAGGTGCCTGACCTGTGCCTCATAGCCATATTATTACCAGAGCTACTTGTATTATTACTATGGCTAGTGAGCTCAGAGCTCAAAGGGTAGCTGGAAATCTGACAGGTTTTCCTCTTCATTTTACAGATGAGAAAAAAAAAATACAATCGTCTGCAATCTGCGTCTTCATAATATGCTCTGTGGCTTAGATGATCACAAAGCTAGTACCTGAGTCTCAGGGATCTGTGTTTGTAAGGGCGTCTGGGTGCTAGAATACTGCTTGAGAAGCTCCTCATGCCCCTGGTCCGTGGCTTTGCTGGAGGACCAGATAGAGCCATGATGCACTAATGGCCTTGGGGTGGTGAAAAGCTTGAGCCAGGGCACGGCGTCCACTGGAAGCGTGTCCAGAGGTGGGGGGGGGTGCATTAAGCAGGGTGTAGAGCGGTGAAACCAGTGTCAGTCAGAGTTCTGTCTTCAGTCTGAGGTATCCAGGCCTCTTCTTCCTCCTCCTTGGGCCCCCAGCCTGTAAGCCCCACAGGAAAGCCTACCTCTGTTAGGAAATGATTGTTTGGAGCTGGAGGGAAGAACCAGCTGACCAGGACCCTGTGTTCTGTATCCAGGCTCCTCCTAGGAAGCCTGTGTTGCCACAGGTGGAGATAAGTCTTGGCTTTGATTGGATGGGGTGTAAAGGTCACAGCTATTGGAAGGAAGCTACACTTAGCAAGGGTGTGTGCAGGTCTTGTAGGAAGTCGCTGGTACTAGAGAGGGCTTTGCAACTCATTTAACCCGAGTTGGCATTACCTGATTGTTTTTATAATTGTTCTAAAGCCTAGACCTTTCTGCAGCTCATGACATTTCTGTTTTTTCTGCCTGAAAACTTCCCAGCACAGCTGTGTACCACCACACCCTGCTTGCTTATTCTTTTTATTTGTGTGTGTTTTTTAATTTATTTATTTCATTTTGTTTTAAGACAAAACATGTAGCTCCAGGTTGGTGCCCTGGAGCTCGCAGTGTAGCCCAGGCCGTCCTTCTGCCTCTGTTTCCTGAGTGCTAGGATGACAGATGTTGTTTTGCATTTTTTAAAGGAAATTTTAATAATGGCATTTTGGCTGGGGTCTTTTCCCGAGGTATGGCCTCATCTACATGGAGTGTGCCGATCTTGGGATTCATTGCTAGTTCATAAATACTTATACACTAGTGTGTGCTCAGCAATACCGATAGTCTTGTACAAAAAGTGCGACACTCAGGCCCTTGGCTCCCTGAGATTCTGGTCCAGCAGTTCTGAAGTGGGCCTGGAGTCTGACAAGTCCTAGGAACAGTGAACTAGAAGGCTCCCCTAACAGTGTAGTAAACACTTTCAAGTTTGCATTCAACATCAAGATGAGCCCTGAAAGGCAGCCTTTGAGCTGACAGGAAATGGCAGTCTTGGTTTTTTTGAGGGGAAGCAGGGACCCTGGAGAGGATTTGCTAGAACAAATGGCAAGCCAGAGAGGGAACCCAAGTGTGCCTCTCTAACCACAGGGTCTGTATCTTCCAGAAGAAGCTGCTCAATTTACTTTCACTTTGTCCTGGCTGCGAGCATTCCATGACTTGGAATTCTAGTCCTGCCTGTTAGGACCAGCTTGCTGCTTGGTGCCCGAAGCTGGGGGAAGCCACCTCCGCTGGCTAGCATCCTTTGCAGCAATGTTAATCTTGTAAATGAAGTTGAGTAAGAAACAAGGAAAGGCTTGTTTTCACGCCCCATGGAGAGTAGCTCCAGGCATTATCTGCTTTGCCATGGAGCGCAGACGCCAGCTGCTTTATAATGAGGCTCATGGCCTCCTTGGAGAGCAGGCCACAGCCTATCAGATTTGTGCTTTTTTTTTTTTAACAACCCATACCTGTTGTCAGGTACCTGTCAACTCTGATGCAGAGAATTTCACCCAAGGATTAGTAGGTTCTGTTCAAACTTAAAGCAGCTTGAAGAAAACCTCAGAAGCAACCACTCACACACACACACACACACACACACACATTGCACACACACACACACTTTGTGTAACGTGTGTGTGTGTGTGTGTGTGTGCATGTGTGTTTTCTGTTTTGCCTCAGTATGAGTGTATAAGTCCTTTATTCTGGAGGGGACAGGCTTCTGATACTGTGACTTCTTTCTTGTATTATGATGGTTCTAAAGTGTGGCCCCCAGGGTAGTTGTAGCTCAGTGCCTCCTGAGAGTAGAAATATAGGTTAGTAGGTTGCCTGTCTGTTCCAGTGCACAGAGTCAGAAACTCTGAGGAGTAGGCCTGGAGTGTGTGTTTTAATATGCTCACCCTGGAGGTTCTGATACATGCCCAAGTGTGAAAACCACTGGACAATTCAAAGTCCGAGGGGTGGGGGGAGTGCCTTCATTTCAACAAAGGGATCCTCAGTAAGGTGACTGGTGGGAAGTGTGTGTGTGTGTGTGTGTGTGTGTGTGTGTGTGTGTGTGTGTGTG